TGCTGTTAAGTAAGGAATGAAACACTTTGGGTGTGCTGTTACAGGAAAATAATCCACAACGGAGTAGTGTGAAGTGACCAAAGTTTTTAAATTTCTTTGCACAGCTAGTCCCAAACTGTTTTATTCCTCTTAAAATAGAGCAAACCTTCCTGTGTCTGTTATCTCATACTTTTGATGTCTTTCACTATTATTCCAAAATGGTGAAGCTAAAGCAAACCTGAGAAAGACAAGTACACATGTCTGCCTTTTGACAGGTATGTATTATGCATGATGCACTTTCTATACTGATGTTTTCTCTCTTACACAGTGAGACACTCAGGCTTCATTGCCTCAAATCACTTCTCAGACTTCAATTCCAACAAGCACCCTATAACCATAAAGTAGCTCCCACCCCAAGCACAACCACTTTCTCTTCATGATGAACACAAACACCTCGGAGCTGTCCGTCCTCTCATCTCTCCCTGGACTTCACCCAAAGCTCACAGATGAAACGAGCGTGGCTGATGTCTGCTGCTCTCAATCCTGTCTGACACGCTGGCCGTGCCATGAAAACATGCCCATGGGAGGAGAACTCGGCCAGCTGAGGCGAGTGGCCACCCCAAGGCTGGTGTGTTATCAGGTGCTGTCACACTGGCTCCTCCCCTGGCACACCGGGGACTGCCGGAGGTCCAGGACTCCCTGCTGTCTCTGGCTAATCTTACAAAGGTTTCGGTCAATACAGCCTGCAGTGGCTAATGGGGTTCCAGAGATAACAGGCAACATCATCAGTGCATGCCAAAAAAGCCATTTATTCCTTCAGTCCTTCCTTCCTTAATTTTCCTCTTTCTTATGTTCAAACTCTTTCCTTCTCTAATCAGTGAAACACATCCTTAGATTTCACTTTTAGCAGCCCAGGAGAGCATTAATATTCCTGCATGGGTTTCGCCTCTTTTCTCTCCCCTGTCAATCAAAGCAACGCTAGCCAATCACAAGCATCTGGAAGTTAACACTCTCCTCCAAGTGCGTTCAGCTGTGACTGTGATTTTATATGAATTGGAAAAGATGTCAGAGGGAGGATATGAATTTTCTGAATTTTTGGACGATGTTTTTTCCTCAACAGCAGCGTAAATCACTAAAACCTCACCCAGAGAAAGGGAAAGAGGTGATGCTTTATTATGGGAGTTTTTTGTTTGTTTATTTTATTGACAGAGACTTTAAAAATGGCAGCAATGCAACTCATAAAATAATGCAGACACAACATCGCCTGGTCTTTTTCCAGTCTTCAGTCCAGTTTGGGTGCCCACTGTAGCGTCAGATTCCCGTTCTTGGCTGATAGTTGATGAGCTGTTGCTGATGTTTTGTGCATTCTGAGATGCTTTTCTGCTCACCATGGTTGTAAAGAGTAGTTATTTGAGTTACTGTAGCCTTTGTGTCAGCTTAAACAAGTCTGACCTCTGACCTCGCTCATCAACAAGGCGTTTCCACCCGCGGAAAAGTTTCCGAAACTTTTTTGAATGAATGACCTTTGTGTTGCTTGATGTAAGAAAACTGGGTCAGAATAAATGCATTTTGTTTATCACATAAAATATAATAAATTAACAGAACTGTCACTCACTGGATGTTTTTTAGTGTTCGTACCATTCTGTGTAAAGAGGTTTGTGTGTGAATGTTACAGGACATCAGCAGTTTCTAATTTACTCAAACCAGCCCATCTGGCACCAATAACCATGCCATGGTCAAAGTCACAGAGTTCACATTTTTCCCCATTCTGATGTCTGATGTGAACATCAACTGAAGCTCTTGACCTGTATCTGGATGATTTTATGTGATTGTCTGACTGGAGTGTACAGCAACAACTTTTCACAAAAGCCAATTTCTGCCTGCAAAAAGGCAAAGTGTTACCACTGTACACGATACTCAGTGCCATGTATGAATTTTTCAGCTCTCTCTTGACATAAACATGGCCAGCAGGTCAAGTGCTTTTGGCTGTGAACGCATACAAATTAGACCCAACCAAAGACAAGAGGAATTACAAGAGCAGCTCTACGTCTGTTTATCTTCACTTCAGTTTTGCATTGCAGAGGCAGACGCTGATGTGAGACGGCCTCTAAGTGGGCTCCTGGGAGAAGGATTTCAACTTTAGCTTTCTTATGAAATCCCTTTGGAGTCTTTTTTTACTCTCTCTGATGCTACGACCAACTGTGTTGAAATGAAGTTTCCTCAGTCTGCCATTCATGCTGTTTGTTACCCTTTTGTCTCTTTATCCAATTAAATTTCTCACTCTCACAGACTGTGTATTTACACGTACCTGATCAAGCCTGAGAAGCCAATCACGGCGAGACGTCAAGCTGCCAATCAAACCATCGGGTCAACCATATGGCAGATTATTAGATGTAAAATAAAGTTGCTTCAAAGAACTTCTGTCTAGGCAGTTTATTTTCCACACAGCTACTAGTATAGTTTTGTTTTTGCCCCATTAGTGTTACCATAGTTCAGAGCTTAATCCAACTGTCAGTTTTGGGTTTTTTTCTGAAATCATCCACACCGAAAAGGTTTTCTGTGTTATTTTCAATAACGAACTAGCATAAACACTTTTTTACTTGTTGAATACTTGTTGAAGACACTCTCTGATGGCTTATTTATAGTAAAAAAAAATGCATTTTCTCTGCTCACACTGTATTTTGGCTCATTCTGTGAGTCTACCTCTCTTTCTGTACAGTGTACAGTGGATATAAAAATTCAACACACCACTGTTAAAATGGCAAGTTTTTGTGATGTAAAAAATGAAACCAAGATAAATCATGTCAGAACTTTTTCCACCCTCAGTGTGAAATTACAATGTATAAAAATTAAGTGAAAAACAATCAGAAGCATTTTAGAGAAAAGTGGGAAAAATAGAAAAGTTACAATAACCTGCTTGTATAAGTGTGCACACCTTTTTATAATTGGGGATGTGATTGATCACATTCAATCTCATGTTCAAAAATAATTATCATACAGCTGTCATCAATGAAATTATTCTGATTAACCCCAAATAAAGGTATTGACCAGGAGAGGGGTATAAAAAAATTTCCAAAACATTAGATGTACCATAGAATGCTGTAAATGCCATCATCAATAAATAGAGAAAATGGAGCACCACAGTGACATTAGCAAGAACAGGACGTCCCTCCAAAATTTATAAAAGGACAAGACAAAAACTTACCAGGGAGGCTGCTAAGAGACCTACAGCAACATGAAAGGAGCTGCAGGAATATCTGATAAGTACTGATTACTCTCTGCATGTGACATCAATCTCTCATATTCTTCACATGTCTGGGCTGTGGGGTAGAGTGGCTAGACGGAAGCCCCTTCTCACAAAAAAACATCCAAGCTCAACTAAATAACCCCAAATCATGTGGCAAAATGTGTTATGGTCTGATGAGACAAAATAGATCAACAAAAGAACACCATACCCACGGTGAAGCATGGTGGTGGCAGCATCATGCTTTAGGGCTGCTTTTCTTCAGCCAGAACTGGGGCTTTTATCAAGGTAGAGGGAATCATGAATAGCTACAAATACCAGCTGATTTTAGTGCAAAACTTTCAGGTGTCTGCTAGTAAGCTGAAGATGAAAAGGAATTTCACCTTTCAGCATGACAATGACCCAAAGCATACATCCAAATCAACAAACGAATGGCTTAAACAAAAGAAGATCGATGTTTTTGAATGACCTAGCCAGAGCCCAGACCTGAATCCAACGAAAATCTGTGGTGTGACCTGCAGCGGGCTGTGCACAGGAGATGCCCTTACAATCTGATGGATCTAAAATGTTTTTGCAAGAAAGAGTGAGAAAATATTGCCAAGTCAAGATGCACCACGCTGACACTCTTAGCCAAAAAAAGACTGAGTGGTGTAATAAAATCAAAAGATGCTTCAGCGATGTATTAGTTTAGGGGTGTGCACACTTACGCAACTAGGTTATTGTAAGTTTCTTATTTTTCAATTTTTTCCTAAAAAAATTTCTGATTGTTTTTTCACTTAATTTTTATACATTGTAATTTCCTATTGAGGGTGGAAAAAATTCTGACATGATTTATCTTGGTTTCTTTTTTTTTACATCACATGCGCCAAGGGATCTCCGAGTCCCCAAGCTTATAATAGTCCCAGTTGTTATATTATATAGCACTTTAAAATCCCCCCCTCCTTAAGCACAGCGAGCCGAGTCTGATGTCTTTACAGCTTTTCCATGTCTCTAAACGCAGTCGCACTGGAAGTCTCCAGCTATGAGAAAGCAGCACCTTAAAACCACAAACATCGATCATCGAGTAGAGAACCGTGTAAGACAGGCAGAAGAGTGAGGTTCATCGTCGGGGCGCAGCGCCCCCCTGAAGACCGCACAGGCGTCCACGGTTTACTGTTTAGAGGTCATGGAGTTCTCGGGACTCAGCTACAGCTGACGTTTTTCCAGAATGAGGACAGCTCTGAGGATAGGTCACACACAAGGGGAAAAAAGTGAGGATAAAAAGGAATAAAGGAGGGTGCAAATGAAGGATAGGGACAAAGGGAGGAAGGAGGAGAGAAGACAAAAGGAAAAAGGATTTACATTTGTGAGCAGTGGTTTCACAAGTGCACAAGTGCAGAGGAATCATTCATTTCCAGTGAGATTTGGATATTTACAACAAAAAGTAGTAGTCATGGCAGTAGAGTAGCTATTGGCAAAGAAAAGTGGGCGAAGCCGAGTGACATTATATTAACTATATTATGAATTTATATATGTACAAATGAGGGATGTAGTGGGACTTCCATCTTTTTGGGTTCTTTTCTGATGTTCCTTCTATTCACCATGGAGCTGTAGTGATATGTTAATCTATAGATTGTGTCTGAGGTATGAAAATCTCACCGTCATTTTAAGCTGTTGAAATCTCAATTCCGATTGGTCAGAAGGTGTTGATTCATTTTCTATAACAACACCTCTGTCAGCAAGGCAGCTGCAAATCACAGGCTTATTTCAATATAATACATTCTATTACATTGATGGGTCCCTGGAAGACTAGTGGTTAGGCTCGGCGCTTTCACTGCTGCAGTCCGGGTTCGATTCCCGGCCAGGGAACTGACTCCATCCACTGGGGTTGCACAAGACAGTGCACTCCCAGTGCTGGTCCCAAGCCTGGATAAAATTGGGGAGGGTATAGAGTACTGTGCAAAAGGCTTAGGCACATGCAGAGAAATGCTGTAGAGCAAAGATGCCTTCAAAAATAATGAAACTAAATGTTTCTACATTAAAAAAATACTATAAAGAGCAGTAAACAGTAATAAATGATAATAAATAAATGTAATATTTGGTGTGACGATCCTTTGCTTTTAAAAAAAAATCAGTAGTCTCAGGTACAGTGTGTGCAGTTTTATAAGGAAATGAGCTGTAAGTGTTACTGAGCATCTTGCAGAAGCAGCCACAGTTCTTCTGGAGACTTTGACTGTCGACTCGCTTCTTATTTCTGCAGCGAAACCCAGCAGCCTTCATTATGTTTTTATCTGAAAAGTGTCTCTTATGGAATCTGCTGCTTTCTTTACT